TCTCGCGAAACAGTTTTCTGGTCCGACTTCGTTTGATCATATCTCCCTCATTTCTCAACCAAATTCAGTCCCGTTTGTTGCTAAATGTTCATTGAAGTGTCCTCTATCTAATCCGCAACAAACCATCGAAATAACACAATCACATCGACGAAAAAGAGCTTACACAGACGCAACTCGAGCCACTCACCTCTGTTTCGGCTCAGATCTGGTTTTGCTGGATTTCGTGGTGTTTTCCGGTCTGTTTCTCGCCGAAAACCTCTCCTAGACACTCTAGGGATGTCCCTCCTTGCTTCCCTGAGCTTCCCTTGTGCTGGTTCCTCCACTTTCTCGCCCTTCTTCTCTCTTTCTCCTCTTTCTCTATTTTTCTGAAACTTTACCCGAAATGGTGAAAGCTACGACTTGGAGAGTGTTTATGCCACGAGAAGGAGGTGGATTGGGCTCAAGCTCAAGCCCAAGGTCGAGCCTGCAATGTCCTGGCAAGGTTGGACGGTGATTTGACGCCGGTGGGGTCCGGGAACGCAGAGAAATACGCGTCCCAAGGCAGCAAGTTGGCCAGTTGCGTTCTGCCCAGCAGACCGTCCGTTCTGGTCCTGGAACGGACAGTCTGGGCCCAGTTTTGGCCCAGCTCCTAGCTCGTTCGTGGTCCGTCCGTTCTGCCATAAGCAGTCCGTCCGTTCTATCTCGTCTGGTCCGTCCGTTCTGCATTTCTAGTCCGTCCCGACTGACTTCGATTGCTCCGTTCTCACTCGTTTCTTACCCGAATCGTGCACCGTTTGTTTCTACACCTTCCTTGAAACGTCCTCTTTCATGTCCAATCAAAATATTATTGGAAACTCACGTTTACACGATGAAGTACAACTCGAAACGTCCGTATCTCGAATAACTTGTGAATTCCGAATTTCTAGGTTCTACTCAATTTTCATTTGCTCATAACTTCCTCGTTTCTCAGTCAAATCGAATGTCGTTTTCTTCTAGATATTCGTTGAAATATTCTCTATATTTTTGCCTTATTTTACCCTCCTTTTATTCCCGAAAATAATTTAAATAATTTATACGGGAATCGGGGTGTTACACCCCCTTCTCTCTCCTCAAACTCCTCTTTTAATGAAAGTGCAAAATTAGGTTTTCACCTCAAAGTTTCGGTTTTTCCTTTTTGGGCCGCATTTGATATCAGGCGGTCGCTCATTTTTTGTTCAGGGTCGCTCATTTTCCCTTCAGGGTCGCTTATTTTCTGAATTTCAGGCGGTCGCTCATAATTTCAGGCGGTCGCCCATAAAACGGGCGACCCGCCTGAATTCTCTATGCTCCCCGGGTCTTTCCGAAACCGTGCTCTTTCGTGCCACGCTCGTGAAAATTCTCGTGGAATCGTCCTGCGCGGTCGCTCATTTTTTGTTCAGGGTCGCTCATTTTCCCTTCAGGGTCGCTTATTTTCTGAATTTCAGGCGGTCGCTCATAATTTCAGGCGGTCGCCCATAAAACGGGCGACCCGCCTGAATTCTCTATGCTCCCCGGGTCTTTCCGAAACCGTGCTCTTTCGTGCCACGCTCGTGAAAATTCTCGTGGAATCGTCCTGCAAGGGAAAAACAAGCAAAAGAGTCTACCCATGGCCGACTAACGTCCTATAATACCTAAAATGTATGAGGAATTGTAATGCACGACGTTAGAAAACCGGTGGAAAAAACCGTGTGATCAAATCCCCCCAGACTTGAGGTTTGCTCGTCCTCGAGTAAATGTGCAATTATAAAACTATCGAAGGGGTAATAAGATATAGTTGGAATACGAATGGGGGTTGAGAGTGGATTGGTTGTCCGGGTTAAAGTCGTTGCGAATGAAATCGAGTTTGGTATACTCTATCTTTTCTAACATTCAAGCGAAAGCCTATCAATGGGATTTCCATTGATTCCTGCGGTCTAAAATGGAATAGGTCCTACTTGCCGAGCATGTCTCCTAAACACATCCCAAATGAGATCTCCAAAAGTTAATTAACCTATAATTCCACTATTTCCCTTGCCCTATGTCTATCTTTTTATTCGTGTTTTTGTGTTCTTTTTCTTTTTCTTTCTTTCCCCTCTTTTTTTTCTTTTCACATGATGCAATCCCGGACTTCTAGGACGTTGGAATTTGACAAGCCTACTCTTTTATCTTTTTTTTTCTTTGTGTTCTTGTCCCACAACTTAGACCCGAGCCTTTGTTTTCGACGCACTCATGTCCCTGAATGATTTTCATTAACGAGATGATGACAGAGGAGTGTCAGGATGCATCGTATCTTCTAGGGCTTGTTGATCCTATAGGTTTCCTAACTTAGAGGTCAAAGGGTGGTTTTTAGGGAGACGTTTCGCGCTTGGTTCGTAACCTCTACTCCACCTAGACATTAGGAGACAAAATCATCCCACTTGACATTCATTCGCTCTAGGATTGGATTTGTTATTTCTACCTCACTCGACAATCCATTCAACTCTTTAGATAAGTCTAAACTTAGCTCCTAAAACCTTTCCAAACCAATCCTCAGTCTATGTCCCCCACATCGTCAACCGACCAAATCTTTGAGAAGAAAAACCTTATGCAAGTGTGTGCATGCGTTCCTAGACCTATATGCACTTATGCAGTCTATTAATGTCGATCAATGCAAGGAATGCAATTTATACACACAATGCAAGTTGTTTTTTTTCGATGAAAGTAGAATGCAAGGCTCATGGATACGAGACACGTTAGTATCACTCCCCCCCAGACTTGAATTGAACACCGTCCGCGGTGTTAATTCTCGATTAGTGAGGAGTATAGAAAGAGTAAGTGGAAAGTGAATCGAATGGAAAGAGTAAGTGAGTTACCTCTTCCGACGGAGTGATCGTCCACTTTGATTTCCTCTTTTCTTTGCTGTAATCCAATGAGATCTATGCGATGTGAGAGAAACTACAATGCCATGCAATGTTAGCTAAAATGAATGCAAAGAGTGAGGGTGTAGGGGGGTTTTTTTTTTTTTTTTTTAGACGAAAATGAGCGACCGCCAGAAAAAACGAGCGGGCCGCCCATTTTTTCTGAGCAAATTTCGAAACTCATGTTCCACAAATGAGCGACCGCTCGAAAAAACGAGCAGGCCGCCCACTTTCTCTGAGCAAATTTTCACTTTGCAAGTTAAGCTTCATTTTAAAGTTATCCTTGGAGAGGTGGTTTGGAAGCAAGATAAGGACATCCCAAAAGGTAAACTAAGATGGAAAAACAAAGGATTAGAGAATAAAGAATGTACATCTCGGAGTTACCCGAGGTTACTAGTTTAGGGTCGTAGCTAGACCGTCATGATGCTCAATCGATCAAGGAGAGAGAGAGTACAGAGGTACCTCCTTTCAGCCCGATACTTCTTGGATTGTACGGTTTAATCCTCTGGGTGTTGACCATGAATGATCCGCCCTTTCCGTTGTCGAGTTCCACCGCTCCATGTGAGGTGACATGCTTTATGATGAACGGTCCCGACCATCTTGATTTCAACTTTCCTGCAATACGTTTTAGTCGGGAATTAAATAAAAGCACGAGGTCACCTTGTTGGAAGTTTCGGTTGAGGATGTGGCGATCATGCCACTTCTTGGCCCGCTCCTTGTAGATTCGTGCGTCCTCGTATGCGTCCAAGCGAATTTCCTCCAATTGATAGAGCTCTAGCATTTGTTTCTCCGCTTGTGGAGCACGTTCAGGGTCCCAATCGTCATGTATATCCTTTCTTGGGCTTGAGGTGTGTCAAGGGAGGCTTGAGCGATTGACAAGATGGCCTCGGGGTGTGAATTTAACATTTCAGGCACAGATGGGCGGGCCGCCTACTTTTCAGGCGGGTCGCCCGTTGCTTTTGGGAGAGGGCCGAATTTGCTCATAGTTTTTGGGCGGGCTGCCTGCTTTTGCAAGCGGTCGCCCGTTTCCTCAGGTTCCTCTTCAATTTTGCTCAGAAATTTCGGGGGGCCGCTCGCTTTTGCAAGTGGTCGCCCGTTTCTTCAGTTTTTGCATCAAATTTTCTCAGAGAAAACGGGCATACCGCCTGAAAAGTCGAGTGGTCGCCCGTTTTTCCCTGGATTTCTTCTTCTGATGTAATCGGGCGGGTCGCCCGGGCGGATCGCCCGAAATACTGCAGAAACCTCCTTTTCTTCTTTTCGATCGTCCAATGCCCGTCTAATCTCCTCGATTTCTTCCCAATTGCTATATAAACTTTCTCCCGTAGCCATAAGTGATATCTCTAGGGGGTCAACTTCACAGAATTCTTCCATCACTTCTTCCGTCATTGCTTCGAGTATATCCGCATAGCACACCGTATCATTGGTCGAGCGTTGCTTCAAATTATGATCAAGTGTGAATTCAACTGTTTCATCTCCGATCTTCATCGTTAATCTACCAGCCCGAACATGCACTATGGCATCCGCTGTATTCAGAAATGGCCGACCTAAAATGATCGGAACTTTGGAGTCGTCATCCATATCTAGCACTACGAAATCCACCGGGACATAGAATTTGCCAATCTTGAGAGGGACATCCTCTAATATCCCTGCTGGGTACTTGATGGATCGATCCGCTAACTGTAAGGCCATCCTCGTGGGTTTCAAGTCGCCTATGTTCAACTTCTTGTAAATGGACAATGGCATCAAGCTCACCTTTGGAGTCGTCATCCATATCTAGCACCACGAAATCCACCGGGACATAGAATTTGCCAATCTTGAGAGGGACATCCTCTAATATCCCTGCTGGGTACTTGATGGATCGATCCGCTAACTGTAAGGCCATCCTCGTGGGTTTCAAGTCGCCTATGTTCAACTTCTTGTAAATGGACAATGGCATCAAACTCACGCTAGCTCCAAGATCACATAACGCCCTATCAATCTCAATACTTTCCAGCTTACATGGAATAGAGAAACTTCCCGGATCAGACATCTTCGGAGGAAGTTCATGCTTGGTGATGGCTGCACTAATCTCGGTGCTCAATGCCACAGTCTCCTTTTCAACTACCCGCTTCTTCGTTAAAATATCCTTGAGGAACTTCGCATATGAGGGCATTTGGAGAATTGCCTCATGGAAAGGCATTGTAATCTCCATCTTCTTCAGCATTTCCGCAAACTTCCCAAATTGGCTGTCCTTATTGAATTTCTTTAAACGAGAGGGAAAAGGTATCGGGGGTACCTTAGGCAGAGGAAGAATGTAAACCGGTTCTTTCTCCTGTTCTTGGACTTTGGGAGTATCTTCCTCTACAGCCTTGCCTTTTTCCTCCCTCATTAGCCTTGGAGTTGATGACTTCTCAACCATCGGAAGGGTCTTGGGAGTATCTTCCTCTACAGCCTTGCCTTTTTCCTCCCTCATTAGCCTTGGAGTTGATGACTTCTCAACCATCGGAAGGGTCATCTCCGGGAGTTGTTTTCCACTCCTTAGCTCCACCGCATTAATATATTCCCGAGGATTCATCTCGTTCTTACGGGAAACATGCCTTGCTGCCTCGTTGATGAGGATGATGCAAGTTGCGCCACTTGGTTATCCAAAATCTTTAAGTGAGCTTGCACTCCTTCCAATTGTTTCTTGAATGCAACTTGCTCATTCTCAATGCTCCCAATGGACACTCCTTGCGATTTTTGACCTTGGAGGATTTGCATAAGCATATCCTTGATATCCGGGTCTTGCTCGTCGGGTTGCGCTTGTTGTGGTCTATAGTTGGAATTCTCTTGATAACCTTGATTCCCTTGACCTTGTTGTTGGTATTTCGGTTGGAAGCCCGAAGGTCCTTGGTTGTTCCGTTGGAAGGCGGGTTGAGGATTTAGCGCATTTGACGCGTTCTTGTAGGAGAAATTGGGATGATTCCTCAATCCTGGGTTGTATAGATTGGATGGATGAGTGTATTGGTTTGGACCGACATAGTTGGCTTCTTCCGCTTCTTGATCAATCGCATACATACCCGGTTGAACTTGCGCTACATTTTGATCCTCCAGAATAGCTACTTGTTTGGCATTCGCAAGTTGGACCTTTATCTCCGCAAGGTCGGCTAGCACCGCCTTAAGAGCTGCGTTCTCACCCACATCTCCTTTCACTGAGCTTCTCCTACTGAACTCATTGGACGTGTGGCTACGTCCTTTGGCCAGTTTTGCTATTGTTGCTTCCAACTCTTGGAAAGGGATGTCATATATGTCACC